GCGGCCGAGGCGGGCCTGGGGGGCGACCGGGGCCTGGGGGACTGCGGGGTGCGCTGGGGCCCGGGGGCAGCCGTGGCCCCGCGGCTGCGGTGGCCCGGGCCCCGACGCCGTTGCTGAGGCGGCCCCGCGGCCCCAGCCGTAGGCACGGGCACCTCCCTGGCGCTCTCCTCGCTGCTCTCGCTGCTGCTTTTCGCCGGGATGCAGATGTACAGCCGGCAACTGGCCTCCACCGAGTGGCTGACCATCCAGGGCGGGCTGCTGGGCTCCGCGCTCTTCGTCTGCTCCCTCACCGTATCCTTTGCGGCGGCGGGGAGCGGGGCCGGGGGTGCAGCTCCTCGTTCTGTCCCTTAACCCTCCAGCCAGGCCTTCAACAACCTGGAGAACCTCGTCTTCGGCAAGGGCTTCCAGGCCAAGATATTCCCGGAGAGTGAGTGCTGCGGTGGGGCGGGGAGGAGGGGGAGCCTGCGGCAGGGCTGGGGTCGTGAAGGGCCTGCAGCCTGGCCACGTCGGTGCTCTGCCGGTGTGACCCAGGGGTCCCAGCCCAGCCTGGGCAGAAGGGCCCACCCGGGTGGTTCCCCCTGAGCTTTTCCCGTGCTGCGGGGCCACTGGCCCCTGCTGCTCTGAGGCTGCCGCATTGGGGCAGCACAGCTACATCTTTTCTCTCTCCTGTTTTTCTCCTGCAGTCCTCACCTGCCTCTTGCTGGCTCTCTTTGCCTCTGGCCTCATTCACCGAGTCTGTGTGACCACCTGGTAAGTGCAGAGTTTGCCCCATTGGGGCAGGGAGCAGCCATCGTGCTGCTGTGGCTGCTGCCAGGGACCCTGACGGCTCGTATTTGCCATTGGCGGTGGGGGGAACAGGACACTGGGCAGGGCCAAGGCTGGCCAGGGGACCCCAGGGTGGCCAGTGTTAAGCACCGCAGCGCAGCGGGATTGAAGGGGAAGGTGTTGGTTAGACCCCAGCCTGTTCCTGCCTGCCAGCAGCTGAGCAGTCTCATCTCTTCCTTCCTCACAGCCTCATCTTCTCCATGGTCGGCCTCTACTACATCAACAAGATCTCCTCCACCCTCTACCAGTCCGCAGTGCCCATCGCTGCTCCCGCCAAGGCTGTCGGCAAAGGCAGGAAGAGGAACTGACAGCCTGCTGCCCCTTCCCTCGGGCTGCCCCCTCCCCTTGGGGCTCTCAGCTGCCCAATAAAGCCATTTCTTTGTAGCCTCTTGTCCATGGCTGCCGTGGGTTTGGTTCCTCTGCTGGCTGGGTGCCGGTGTGGCTGAGAGTAGTCCCCTTGGCTCGTCCAGGCTGCGACAGAGGCTGGGGTGGGTTCTCCACCTCGCTGCTGCCCAGGGTGGGTCCCGGCACCAGCTGGCAGAGTGTGGTGGCAGCCGTCAGCCCCCCTGCTGGAAAAAGAGGGGATGGCGTCTTCTCTGCCTGGACCCACAAGGGAGGAAAATCCCAGCTGCGCCGGGCGGGTGGGAACTGGCTCCCGTGTTGCAGGGGGTGGGTGGGGGGCTGCGAGGGTGCCGGTGGCTCAGGTCTCTGCTGGGGGAGGGGGAGCGGCGGAGGGGCAGGCTCCGTCCCTAACTGCCACCAGCCCTCTGCCACCTCGGCCGAGACTGCCGGCGCTTGGCAGGAGAACAAAGGCACGTCCGTGCCCTCCCCGCGACGGGGGAGGGCAGCCGCCGGGCACCGGTGCTACCGCGGGGCGCGGGGTGGCCGTGGGAGGGCTGGCAGGGGCTGCTCCCACGCCAGTCCCCTGCCGCCCGTCCCGGCCGGACGCGGAGGAAACCAGATGCTTCCTGCCGCCGCCGCCGCCGACAAAGCCCGGCGCTTCCGCCGGGCCCGGGCCGCCCCGCACAACCCCCCGCCGCGCATGCGCTGTGCGATGTGACGTGGGGCGGCTCGGCACTGCAGCTCCCGGCGGACCCCGCGCTGCCGTGACGTAATCGTCGCGACGGGGGGCGAGCGGGCGCCGGGCCCGGAATCGGTCCAGGTGGGGGAGGGGCCGGGGCCGGCAGCGGTACCGGTTCTTCGGCCGGTTCGGGAGGGCTCAGAGGGGGCCGGGGTCTGGCGCCGGTTGGCGAAGGCCCGGCGGGGTCCGGCGTCGGGCTTCGTCCGAGAGGCCCCGGAGGGGGGGACCGGGGCCGGCCCGGTTATGGTGGGCCGGGGGGTGTCGGTGCGCGGCGCGGGTCGGTCCGGCTCTCACGGCCGCTCTCTTCGCAGGCCGCCATGACCAAACTGGGGCAGTGGCTGTGCGGACTCGTCCTGCTGGGCTCGGCCTGGGCCGCGCTGGCACTGGCGCCGCCGGGGCTGCGGTTGCCGGCCCCGTGCCGGCAGGCCCTGCTGCCCCTGCCTGTCTACCTGCTGGTGGCCTTCGGCTGCTACTCCCTGGCCACCGTGGGCTACCGCCTGGCTACCTTCAACGACTGCGAGGAGGCAGCTGCCGAGCTGCAGGAGCACATCAGCGCGGCACGGGCAGACCTGAGCCGACGAGGGCTGCGCTTCTGACCCCAATAAAGCTGAGGGACTGTGGCTGCCTGTGGTGTACGGTGCTCCTGGGAGACCAGGGCACGGGGTGGGGTGGGGGGCCTTTGGCTGGGGCTCCTCTGGGCAGTGGTGCCCTGGTTGGGGGCCGCAGGCAGCCAAGGACCTCAGGATGCGGCTTGAAGCCACACTGGTGGGAAATCACTAATGTCTCCCCACCGTGAGGCTGGTTTTCCGGGGGGGGGGGGGGGCAGGTCTCCACACAGGCCTGGGTCCCCTCTTGGCACTCCCACCACCCTGCAAAGGCTGCAGGGATCCCAGCCTGGCCTCTCCCTCTCCCAGCTTCTTGGAGCTTGGCTCTAGAGGCAGGGATGCAAAGTGCCGAGGACAGGATCAGGCCTTGCCCCAAAGGCCCATGGCTGTGGGCAGAGCACATTCCCAGCTGCCCTTCAGATGTGGTTCGCACCGTCAGGTGGGAGCTGGAGAAGACTCATCCTGATCCCACTGGCTGGTTTCCAGGGGAAGGAGGAGAGAGGCTGGCTGGGTGGAGCAGGCGGCGCAGCCTTTAAAATGCAGAGTGCCCAGAGCCTGTGGTGTCCCCCGGCCTGCCAGGGCGGCTCAGCCCACGCCGGGGGGCTGCTCCCTACTCCTGCCGGCACAGCGACTGCATCTGCTGCTCCTCTGGCCCCACCTTCACGGGCAGCGGCAGGTAGACGTGCCAGAGCACCGTGCCAGGCTTCTCCGGGAAGGGGGTGAGGTGCCCTGTGGCAGAGGCATCCCTGCGGGGGGAGGGGGGAGAGGGCCCTCTGTCCGGGGGTGCCCTCTGTCCAGGGGGGCCCAAGACCCACGCTGCCGGCCCAGCTGGAAGAGCTGTGCGGCTGGTGGTGACGCATGCTGGGGCCTGCCTTCCTGGCAGCCTCCCTGGCTTCTTCACATACCAGCCAAAGGACTTTCTTGTTTTTAATTATCAGCTGCACATCCTTCTGCAAAAAGGAGCAGTTGGTATCATGAGGGAGGACTCCGGCTAATTAGCAGGAGCAACTAATTAGCTGTTTCCTGAGCAACAATGGCAGCTCAGAACAGGGTGGGCAGCTCCCTCGGTCTCGCCTGTGTGCGGCTGTTTGTGAGGTGGCACCACCCTAGATTCAGCAAAGCGGTGCCTTTCTGGGGCAGGGACGGCAGCCTTGGTGCAGGTCAAGCTCCGTGGGCTATGCACAGCCCTCTGCAGGCTACTCCTGGCCATCCAGGGGCTACTCACAGCCCTCCGGCAGCTCGGCAGGCCAGCAGCACAGCGACAGCTTCTCCCTGCACAGACATGTGCCCGCTGCGGGTGCTCGCATCCCCAGGAGACGCTCGACACGCCTCCGGCCTCGCGCGTGGGGCCACATTGTGGCCACTCCTGCCAGCCGCTCATGGCACATGCCAGCCAGCATGACCAGTCGGCAGCCAAGTTTCTGTCTGGTGCGTCAGTGGGGAAAGCTGCCTTTTCTCAAGGCGGTCAGTCCTTTAGCAGTGCCTTCGCCGAGGCTGGGAGCTGCGCCCCGGTGCTGGGGCAGGGAGAGCGGGGGCTCCTCCCCGCTGGGAAATGGGGCTGCTGTGGCTGGGGGAGCGAGCGTCGCCCTGGGGCGAGTCCCTGGGGCAGACACACCTGCAAGCACAGCCCGTGCGGGCGAGGGGAGCCCCAGCTCCGCGGGTCGCAGCAGCAAGACAGAGCACGCTGGGCGAGCCCTGCAGCTGCACTGGCTGGGGCTGCACACTGCAGCGTGGCAGGAGCTCGTCTTGCCCTCCAGCCACCGCTCTCATCTTGGCCCCGTTCCTGCTGCTTGCCTCCGTATTGATTTTTCCCAGGCCACGTCGCAAGGTGTAAACGAGCGTCTGAGCTGTAGCACGGGCTCTGCCAAAGTCCTCGTCACCACTTCCTTAATCCAGCCTGCATCATCCAGGATGGAAGACCTGCCTGCGCCGACAGAGCCGCAGGGATGTGGCTCTTTGCCCTGGGGGAGGGGTCTCCTGCCCCGGGAGGGGGGGGCACCTTTCACAAGGCTCTGGGCATCTGTTGTGCAACTTGATCATCCAAATGTGTTCCTGACCCTCTGCTGATGTGCTTGCCTGATAACTTCATTACAGATCATTGTTAATTTGTTAATCGAGTTTGAGACGATGCCAACAGCCGCCTGATTTGTGCACGCTCAATCGTGGTTTTAGCGAGGATTTTAATTGATTATAAGTTTGCTGGCCTGACAGCTGGTAGCAAGCCCCATGTCGAAGCTGCAGAACGGACTTTTCTTTCCCTGTTGTGACTGGTGTCCCCAGGCTGCTGCTCAGGGAGGGGGGAGTCAGAGCAGCCTCCTCAGGCAGTGCTGCCATCCTCGGTGCCCCCTCCCTACCCCAACCCAGCCCTGTGCCTGCTCCCTCCCTGGGGTTGGGGCTGATGCTTCCTCACTGCCAGAAAGTGGGTGCTGTTGGAGGAGGGTCCAGGGGGTGCCAGGATGAGCCCCCACCACCCTGGGGACAAAGCAGCTGTGGGGACAAGAGCCATCCCAGAGTCCACAGCCAGCACACCAGGAAGGACAACCAGGTGCTCTTCAGTCTCTGATTTATTAAAAGGCACTTAAATTCATACAAAAGAGACACAGGGCTTCCCGGCAGCCCCAGCCTGGTTGCTGGGGCAGAGCCGTGGGCATGGAAGACTGTCTGGGGGGGTCCCCAGGGACAGGCGGGGTGCCCAGGAACTGGGGTGGGGGGCTCCTGGCACCCCGAAGGCATCGCTGAGACCAATCCAACCATCACCGAAGGACCAAGGGCTGGAGGGATGCCAGTGAGAGTGAACCACAGAGGCAGGAGGTGCCCTCCAGGGGCCCCTGTCCTGCCAGGAGCGGGCAGCCCTTGGCACCTGGGGCTCGGTGGCTGGGGCCAGTGCACGCTGGAGCAGACTGGCAAGGGTTCGGGGATCCTTCATCGGTCCAACAGTGCATGAGCTCCTTCCTCGGGGGGGGCCAGCGGGGTCCCCTCAGGCATGCAGGGGTCTGTAGGTCTTGTCCTGGCCTGGCGGGTACCGCCAGAAAAGCCAGAACCGCACGATGCTGGTGACAATCCCTGGCACATTCGGGACCTGCAGGAGGACATGATGCGGGGGAGGGGGGCAGTGGGTCTACCCGGCTCATGGCGCTCCTGCCCTCCCCCATCGCTGCTCCACCAGCCCTGTGTTGCTGGGAGAGATTTATTGGCCTTATACCATCTAATTAATTAAAATCAATACTCATCTCGCTGAGCCTAGTCACGGGCTTTGCTGTGTGACACACACGACGCCGGACGGGGGTCGGCCTGGTGCCAACCGCTCAGCCGAATGCCGTGGGGCGGGGACGGGACGGGATGGGATGGGAGAGCATCCCTTGGCTGCCCGCTGCCCCAACCCACCGTGATGTAGGGGTCATGGAGCTGCAGGCCGTAGAGCGTCCAGCTGGTGGAGGCCAGGAAGGTGGTGATGGTCAGGGGGAAGGACAGGCAACGCGTCGACTTGCTCTGGACAATCTTGGCCTGCCGAAGCAAATGTCAGCCTGGGCCTGGGCTGGGCAGTCCCAGCACTGCTGCGCTCCCCCCCGAACCCCACCAGCTGCCGCCCAGCCCCACGCACCAGGTCGGCCAGCGGTGAGAGGTACATGCTGATGGTGAAGACACTGCAGAAGAGCCCCAGGCGTGCCAGGCGTGTCTGTGCATCGGCAATCAGGAGGGTGAAGTAGCCATAGCCAGCAACCAGCACAGCCAGGAGCAGCAGGCTGTGCAGCAGCACGGGGCGCTGGGGCAGAGAGGAGGGGGACGGTCAGGGCGAGGGTCCCTCCATCCCCCCATCGACCCAGGCAGGCTGGCCCCCACCTTTGCAGGGCTGTAGTAGAGGTATGCCAGGATGTAGAGGGTCTGCAGTGCTGCCCCAATTGTGTTGACGGTGATCAGGGTCCAGTCCTGCTTCAGGCAGCCATAGCCCAACCAGCTCAGGTTGCTGCAGGGCAAATGGCACAGGGGCTTGCTGGTGCGCCTTGGGCCTTCTGCTCTGCCCCACCACCATGTAACCCCCACCAGTTGCATAAGACACACCCCTCCCCGGGCTCAACCCCACTGTACTTGACATCGGTGGTGAGGAAGGGCAGGAACTGGATGTTC